GGAGGAGTAGTAGTAGTAGTAGTAGGAGTAGGAGTAGGAGTAGGAGTAGGAGTAGGAGTAGGAGGAGTAGTAGCAGTAGTAGTAGTAGCAGCAGTAGCAGTAGCAGGAGCAGTAGCAGCAGCAGGAGTAGCAGGAGCAGCAGCAGCAGAAGGAGCAGGAGCAGGAGCAGGAGCAGGAGCAGGAGCAGGAGCAGGACAGGAGCAGGAGCAGTAGCAGCAGCAGGAGTAGTAGCAGCAGCAGCAGCAGCAGCAGCAGCAGTCGTAGTAACAGCAGCAGCAGTAGCAGTAGCAGCAGCAGTAGCATTAGCAGCAGCAGTAGTAGTAGCAGCAGCAGCAGTAGTCGTCGTCGTTGTCGTCGTCGCCAACGTTTGTATAAATCAAATGGTGAATATGCACGGTAGGCCCGGTAGGCAGTAGTCGTCAACATCATACTCAAGCCTGCTGCTACAGCTGATGCAACATAACAACGCTGCCCAGTAGAGCCGGCGGTGGTCAACCTATTTTGTCAGCTTCGGAGTTTTGGCCGGGGACCGATTTCTGCCGCCCGGCCTGATTCCTCCAGAGGTACGAGCTCCAAGCTTGTGCGACTGAAAATGGCCAACCAGCTGCTGGAGTCGTGCGACACGAAAGGCTGGCCGTGGGCAAGCACTGCACTCCGTGTTGGCTCTTGTGAGGCCTCCAGGAATGTACCCCAGAAATTACTTCGTATCATGCAATGCTGGAACAATAGTCAAAACCTGATTCAAAATTGGCTAAACCCGTCCTTGTTCCACTGTGAGACACAGAAGTGGGCGCCATCCTTGACGTGCACGCATCCTGTGGCCTTCACTGCCAGAAGATGAACATCCACTCCTCCGTTGGAGATGGGCAGGAGCCGGTTGCTTGAACTGAATTCATCCGCACCCGCTGCCACTCTCCCATCCTCGCTGCTCCACAATTCTGTCGGATCCTGAGCAACCTCGCGTGAAAGGCGGTATTCCTGGAACCGCTTTGGGTCAAGTTTCCGATCCAAGAAGCTAGCCTCCATGGCCCATGGCCGGTGATGACAAACTATGACATGGCACCGGTAACCTGTAGCAACGAGCCAGCATGCGGCAAGCCATGCCAAAAGCTCAACTCAAGTCGAAATCTCTGACTCGATGGTTCCTGTTACAGCAGATTAGGGGCAAATCATCCAGAACCTGCAAAATCAGATGATCGAAATGCTAAACCCTAAGACTCTTAAGACTTACGGCAAGCAATAGACCATCTTCCAACTCAGGCTAAGAACTCCTCGACATGTGTAGTGCTCAAGCCGAAGCCCGGCAACCCAGGTCCTCTACCACGCTTGCTTCCTCAGCTTTGCATTGCGGCTTAGTTGTTTATGACTTGTGAGGAATGCAAGGTACAGCTTGAAGCAGAGACAACATGATGGAACGTATCCGAGCTTCCTGGTCTCCATCAAACCAGACAGGCGGTTCGCAAATATCGGCCGTTGCCGGCAGTCCTTCGTCAAGGTGTTCCATATGTGTGCGATAGGGCTCCCTTGAGGCTTCATCGCCACAGGCGCACTTTGGCCACCAAGTAGCAACAAACGCTCCACACATACAAGTATGCCCACACATCACCAGAATTCTTGATCGCAGAGTGGAAGCCGCACGTATCAAAGACTGCACACCGTTTCCTTAAGCCAGGTTAGCTAGCAACAGTGTGGACAGACTGCACATGCTAAGCCAGATGGACTATCACTGCTCCTGACGGCCCAGCATCCGCGGTGCGGCCGTGAATTGGGCCTCGGCCCCCATGTCGCTCAAAGCCAATTGTCGACGACTCCACACTTTCTCGGCGAATGCGTTCAGTGAAGGATCCCAGCGGTACACCATCAAGACGCTAGGGGTAGTTCGCTTGGGGTATTACGGTGTTATGGACACCTCTGAAACGCTGAAGCCAAAAGCATCCTTCAGCCCTCACTGCTTGCAGGTCGCGGCAGGTCTCGTCGGCCCGGACTCCTCAGCTGCTGGAGATGGGACGATCTCAAAACTGCCTTAACTCATCCGCTGCAGGATGCCTCGGCAGTGGGCCCTGCAACATCCTCATCCTACAACACCTTCCCGGATCGCCCAGGACTGCCCAGCTTGGAGCCGAAGCGCCTTTGAGGCTCTCCTGGACAAAACAGGGCATGGGAAGACGAAGAGTAGCATGCACCTGTGCACATGGAGACATAATAGTGCTCAATAGTGACACAGAGGAATGCTAGTCATCACTTGGCACTGGAACGATGCCATACTCAGACACCGCTCGGTGACTACTCTTGCTTGTATTGCCATGTCGACACAGTTCGTTTCCCTCCAGAACCACGCTGAGATGCATCATCAACATCATCATCATCCCCGATTATCAACGCCTGCACCGTTGCCTCAATGTTCCCCATGCACAACAGCGAGTCCGGTGTAATCACGACGCATGCAGCAGCAGCTGCAGCAGTCGCAGTTCGATGCTGCTGATAATGCTGATGCTGGCATTGGAAATAGGCTGTAATAGGGATTTAGCAGGCGCAGGGATACCGAGGATGGTGATCGTCACACCAACAGTAGCAGCCACTGATGTGCAGGTAGCAGTCATTTCGTCGTGGTGGTGTAGGCGGCGGCTGTGGTGGTGGCAGCGAAGACAGAAGTGGCTGCAGGTGCAGCAACAAGCGTGTTGTTGTTGGGTTGAGTGGTTGGTGCTAACAAATGAACATCTCCAGTGCCAAGCCTAGCTAGCGACACTGGCCAAAACCACGTCTGTGTCACGTGACTCGAAACGCCAGCCCCAAACTTGGGGCATCGCGACTGCAGGATCGTCATGCCACGATTGTTACACTGTTCTGGTTCTTGACATCATCACCCACGAGAAGCATCCGGAAGCCCATCACAAGCAAGCTCCACACAATACAAGATCGATCTCCTGTGAGGCCGCATGCTGCCGGCGTCAGAAGCACCCACCCTTTGGGTCAGCGATGTGGCGCTGGCAGCACTGCGTGGCCTGGATCAGGCCTATACTGCAATGTCGAAGCAAATTGATACGACCTAGCTCGTTCGCGGTGTGCCGGGGGGGTGCGACCAATGGGGTGGTAAAGGCTCCGAAGCCCGGCCTGCCAGAGTGTGAAGGCCGACTTGTCCGCTTCAGAGCTGCGCAGGGATCCTCAACCGAATCTCATGTTGGCCATCGATCTGAATCAAAAGGCAAATGCATCCCAGGGGCGGCGAGCAGTGTAGCATACTGCTCCTGATCTCTCCCAGTTGCCAGGTGCCATATGTCATGCAACACGCACTGCTGCCGCGGAAGTCCAATTGCAATCCGTCACGGTGCGACACTGCAGGTAGTGCTTTCGCCCGGTCATGCCAAGTCGCCATCATTTGCCGCGTCACCTCCTGGCGAGTCTTGGTATCGATGATGTGGCCTCGAGCGAGCGTGGAGTTCTGCCTTCACGGAGAAGCTTCAAACTTACCAACTCGCACGGTGCCATCAACAGCAGCCAAGGCACTAGTGTCGTGCCAGATCTTCCTCAAGTCGCACATGCCTCGCACAGGTATCATCGCAACATCACTTTAAGACTTCAAGATGCAAATCAGTGACAATAAAATTCAACAATGCATACCGTCTATCTTCAGACAAGCTACCGCCACACATTCCATGATGCCACCAGGCCTGATTCGAGAGGCAGTCACAGAAACGCACGGCAGAGGTATAGTATGACAATGCTCCTTTTTTGCTGCTCTTTCATTCAAAGGCATCAGCCACTACCGCATCGACGACTAAACTACTGCTTCGACTGCTGCTGGTGCTGCTGCTGCTGCTGCTACCACGGCAACGATCATGAGCACGACCACGACAACTACGACGACTGGCACTACTACCATTGCCACTACGACAGGGTTGCTTGCATGATCGCAACTATCTCTACTACCAGTGTTGCCACCACCACTCCTACCCGTACAACCACTTGTCACTTGTATCGACAAGTTGTACGATAACGACGAGAAGGGAGGCAGCGGGTGATGCTGTCGGGCCAAATCGGCGTTATCATGATGCCGAACCTTGTGGTGGTGGTGGGGGTGAGAATGAGTATCATCGTGAAAATAATGATGACGATGCTTCTGCGAGGATCAGAGTGACGGTGATGTTCGAGGGTGCAAGCCACAATAAAGTTTCAACAAAGTTGATGAGGCGATGATGGTGATGGTGATGATGAGGAGTCGAAATACACTCTTTAGCCTCCAGCCGGCAACACCAGGAACCCCAATTCATCTCAGCAGAATCCAAAGACGCTAATAAGAGCGACTCCGTCTGTAAACTAAAGCTAGTCGAAGCAATGGCTCATACTGCATCAGACTCAACCAGGCCTGATCTAGCCGGTGCCTCATCCCAGCAATGACCCCAAATCGTGCCAGGCACCTTCCTAGACTGAAACATCGAGAAATGCGAGTGCCATGGCACGCTCGAGCTGCCCGGAACGCCCGTGTCAATGCTGTGGGTCGCATTGATGGCAGGATTGTACAGCACATAGTCAGAGCGGCCTGGCCAGTACTCCGCAGCTGTAGGCAAAAGCCAAGAAGGGCATGAAGCCATCAAGCACAACGTAATCACAAGCACCGCCACGACTCCTGAAAACTACCTACCCTTGCCACCTACTGCTACCACTCCTGCTACTTCCTACTACTGGTCCTCCTCCTGCCACAATTAAGTTACTAACTGCTCCTGCTTCCCCTCCTGCTGCTGCTGCTGCTCCTGACCCTACCCCTACCCCACTCCGACTCCTACCCGCTTCTGCCGTTGCTGCTGTTACCGCTCGAGCTCTGCTTCTACCTCTTGCTCCCTCGTTGCTTGCTCTCACTCCCGCGAAGTCACCCAGGTCGCCTGGAGCCACCCACGGTTTCCGCGGCTGCCCCCAATCAATGTCCGGAGCCCTGAGGCAAAAAGGTGTCGGGCAGGTATAACAGTCACGGTCAGTAATGCGACCGTGACGATGCAACGTTGCATAGTGATGCCATGGCATGTGGAATATTGTCTGACATCACCTGGGATGATGTGAGAAGAATTCTAGCTGCATTCCAGCTGGAATTTCTGGAAGTATCTGAAACTTGTGTGTTTCCTGCATGTGGCAGGGTGGCTTGTTCTTGGCATCCTCAGAGTGCAGCCAGGCTGGGAAGTGTGACTTCTTTGCAAAATCTTCGGGGTGTGGTCGGTCAACTTAGTTCATTTTGGCAAGCCATACGCGGGGAGTGAGGTGGCACGTACCAAATGAAGCTTGCAGAAGGTTGGGTAAAGTACCTTCCGGCATGTCACGGCTCAACAGACTGAGCCCTCCAAAAACGAGAAAGGGCAAAAACACAATTGCAACCTACTGCTGTGCAAAGCCATGATACGCCCCTCGCCCTGCAACACATTGCGTCTTGTCAAGCTGGTGTGCCTGGTCGGCGTGGAAGCCCTGATGCTACCGGTGCTGCGGCATCGACGCGTTGAAGCCATGGTGTGGGCGCGAACTTCGCGATTGAGAGTAAGATAATCTGGTGGGCCAAGGCTGATGAATTGCTGTAACTCAGTGACGAAACGAGTCTTTGCAGGGCCCTTGGAGGGTCTTGAGGTAAACACTGCCTAGTTATAATCAGACCGCTACCTCTTTCCGTTGTTCCCTCTTGCCAGTAATTTTCGACGTTGGTGGATGTCATAGCGGTCCGTTCGGTGTTGCTGACGCTCTTCCGACATCCTATTGCTGCAAGCCACCAGTAACTCCAGCAAAACCGTGCCGCAGAAACGCACGACAAAATGCGCCAATTAGTGCTACACGAGATTGGCTCCCGGGCACTGGCTTGAAACCCAGTCCCTCTCCAATGCCCAACGCGCAAACAAAACGGCGAACATGCTGCTCCTCGTGGCGTGATACAGGGACGACGACGACGACGACATACGACGACAACGATATCGAGATCGCTGCATGCCGAACCGCCGACACACCATCAGTGCTGCAAAGGTTTCAGTTTCAGTACTATTGTTGCGTTCATGTGA